AGAGAGAGAGAGAGAGAGAGAGAGAGAGAGAGAGACTTCAAGTTTTGTGCTAGCCGTGGAAACTTTTGGTGAATATTTAAAAAGAAAAGATATAAGAAATCAAACTATTTTTTTTACTAACCTGACCACCTTCCCCGAATATGTTAGGATATTTGAGCAGAGGTTAGCTTTTGTAATTTTGAAATATTTCTTCAGGAGCAGCGAGTACGTAGCATCAGCAGCAACTTTCAAATGATTTTCCCCGACAAACAATGTCTATTACCTTATCCAGTATTATTGAAAAGGACTTGTCATATATTTAACTAACATTTGGTACCCATAAGAATAGGACAGTGGAATAAATTTAATTTATTTTTTTCTAAATAAAAAGGACCAAAAACAATGTATTTGTTTTATTTTTACTTTTTCATCCTCTGTTGCCGTTAAGTGTCGAGGGGAGATACAGTTTTCTATGGTAGGCCAGTCCCTCAGCTCTTTCAATAGGGATATTATATAATATCTACGGTTTTCCTTGACTCCCCCAATCCACCCTTTGTGTGGCTTTCCTCTTCCTTTATAGCCTGAGTGTTTAGTGTTATTTATAGACTCTCCATGGTGGCTGCCTCGGTGACACATGTAGCAGGTGGCCAAACTATTCATTTATTCTGATTTTTTATAAAATTCAGACAGGAGTCAGTGCCAGTAGCTGCTCTTACTTCTTCATTTCTCTGCCTGTCTCGTCTTGTGATAGTAAGAGTTTTGCAAAGACACTTCATCTCGCATACAGTGATTTTGCTTTTGTGGGTTTTACTTAAATAAAAGTCCAGGTCTGGCACTGGTCACTGGTAGCATACTGTTGGTATAAATGTTGAAGAGATAAGATGTCTCTTTGTGTCGTTGGAGGTGTTTGGATGAGATAGAAGGGGTGCATTACCAACCCTAAAATGTGTTTCTATTTCCCAGAAATTCATGAACATGTTCAAGATCACCCATGGGCAGGCAGCCATGCAAAACATGCCTCCCCCTGAACTCTTTGGTCTCCTCAGTTCTACCGATGACTTTGATGTGGAGTCTAACGGCAGGTGTGTGTGTATGTGCGTGAGTGTTTGTGTGTGTGTGTGTGTGTGTGTGTG